ATGAAAAGAATTTAAACGAAGCAACACAAATGGCCCTTAGATAAAAACTGATTTCATGATCATTGATTTGCCTCTGATTTTTTATATTTGATAACGAGGTTATTAATTTATCATAAAATTCAATCTCGATGAATGAAAATGAAGTGGAACCTCTCCTAACGTACATGCACCTCTATATTACGGACACCTCTATATTTAGTAGTACAGATATTTAAGTCCAAAGAACCACCAAACATACTTTTTTCACAGACCCGACCTCTATATTACCGACACCTCTATATTACGACACCCCTATATTACGGACAGCCAGCTGGATATTTATGTCCCAGCAATATCACCATACATAGACACCTCTATATCACGGACACCTCTATATTACGGACACTACATTCTGACCCTTCGGTGTCTTAGCGTCCGTATCAGTTATAGAGGTAGCGCCGTAAGACAAAAAACATGACTGTCTTGAATCTAGACTGAGAACTGACAACAATTAATGATGTTGATTTTAAATCAATACATGCTATATAAACACGGCCCGGAGTAGTTCCCTGTTGTATTATTTGATATTGGAATAATATTGATATTGAAGATCACCTGTGCCAAATTTATTCAAGAGAGACATGACTCATTAACCACTTTCACCAAAATGGCTTCAAGTATATTGTCCAAAAATAGCTCAGTTTTTAGACAAATTTTCCCGCCTTAAAAAATCGCGCGTGCGAGACTGCGTCACTGTAATACCTCCTGGACTTGAAGGTCGTCCAATATCGACCAAGAAGTTCCTTATCATTATTCTAATTAAAGCAATATCCATTGGTTTGGTTGTTCTATAAGCGGCTTTCGTTCCGCTTTTTTTTCCTTGGTAGTTTTGTCAAAAGTTATAGGCCTAGGATTGCAGCATCGGTAGCATCAAAAATAGAATATATGTGAAAGGTCCATTTAGATCTATACACCCAATTCAAATTTTTTTTTTCGTCCAGTCATCACCTTTGAAGTTAGAATGGAAGTAAATTTATTTGCTTCCCTTCAAAACCACACTGAACTAGGTTACGAGAGTCTCACTATAAATTATTGAACAGAATTATCTTCACGAATCAGCTACTCTACAAAATTGGCAAATGAGACTCATCTTCCTGTGCTTTTTGTGGAAAAGAAGCAGAAACTTTGGAACATCTTTTCTTCTTTCGTGAAAAAATCCAAACGTTTTGGAAACTTGTCAGTAAAATGTTAAACGATGAAAATATTTTTGAGGGAACAGTAACGTTCAACGAAGTATTTTTTGGAATCCTTCAAGGCAAGAAATATCAACAGTTGTAAAATTGTAAATGATTTAATTCTAGAAGGAAAATATCTTATGTATTATTATAAATTGAATGATAAACCTCTCTCATTAGAAATCCTTAAAGCAAGATTAAGAAGGACCTATGATATCGAATTATTTATTGCGAGAGAAAATAATAGAGTATCACCCACCAGGAAAAATGGAATCCTATATCGTATTAGCCGAACCTTACTATTACTTCTTTTTTCTCTCTCTCTCTTATACTTTGTCTTGTTTTTTTTTTTTTTTTTTTTGTTTTTTTTTTTGTTTCTACTTGTCTATCCGATTGTTAAACGACTATTATCATTATTCTAGCATAAAAATGTCAATAAAATACAGAAAAAAAAAATTTTTTGAAGTGATTAACGATAGCTTTTAATCTGGCACTTGATAAAGGCTGTATAGCTGTTAAAAGGACCATGCGCCAAGGCAATAACACCTACTGATACTGCCAATCAATCTTTACATCCAATCAAATAACTAGTGATATCAAAAAAAATTTAAGTAGGTACATCCATATAGAATGATTGCCATTATAATCTATACGTTCACCTGTTACTAGAGACTTTGAAGACCTTGGTAGGTTCAAGGTAAATGATCAATTTTTAAACTATCAAATTGCATTTCTATTATTTGTGTAACGGGCAGATTTTAATTACCAGAAACCTATAGTTTGGTTTGGTTGGTTTAATCTTTCAGCATTTCTAGTACGAACTAAATTACCATCATAAATTAATTTTCTTTTTCCTGATGCCATAATCTTTTTTAAAAGCACATTATAAAGTGGATGGGGAGGGCTTAATTTTTTTTCATACGGAACTCAAACCAATGCAAAATAAGATTTCATTCGTTGGAAGTCAAAGTCAAAGTCTCCTGACTCCGCCGTCCCGCCGTCTCAATCAGGAATTCAATCTCGACTTCGGTTTTCTAATGCAATAGACCTAATCCGCTAACGTGTTGCTATAAACGTTTCCACCCAATTCAAACCACATGGGAGTAAGTTTCATTTGTTCGTTATATTTTGGCCGGTTTCAGAGTTGAATTCGTAGAGACAAACGCTTCTATTCCCAGAAGGTTTGAATTGGGTGGTAACGTACGTTAGCCGATTAGGTGTATGTTTACATGTTTATGAATAACCGTTTTTCGCTCAAAAATGAAAACTCTTGCGTCAGTGTTAGGCCTTAAAGTGAGTGTAAAACTTAATTTCTTAGATTTTCCATGAACTATTCAGGTCTTTCCAACTGTTTTGAAACAGTGACGTAGAAAGGACGTCACTACATAACTGAGGTGTCACGAAGCTCGTGAAAAGTTGACCAGTAAAAAATTAAATCAGCTTATTTTCAACTGACGTTGTCAGTTGAAAATCAGCTGATTGAAGCAAGAACAAAGCAGTTTTGCTCGTTTATATTTTTCTTTTTGTGCTCGTTATCTTCTTAGTTTCAAACAGCTTCTTCGCGTAGCTTTCATTATATTGTTTTACATAGTTCTCTTTTTCTTTTTACTTGAAACTTCAAGTCCATTAGCTAAATTAAATCCCTTACCTTGTAGCCATTTCCTCTCTCTTTTCTCTTGTTCTACTTTCTTTTTCTCCGCAGCTTCCTTCCTCTTTCTTTTTTCCTTTTGCATTTGTGTGGAATACATGCTCAATCGTTAAAAAAACTCGCATTATCTACAACTTCAATAGTCCGGTCCCTTAGTTCACGAGTTCACAGTGTCTTTTGGTTCTTCCCTTCTGTTTTATTTTTGTGAAAACCAGAGAAAAACTAATATTTAACGTTAAAGAAAGGCTTCGTTATATCATACTCAATTACTATCTAATGGTTTTCAATGGTGTAGGTTTATCGTAGGTTTGAGCAAGTGATTGACCTCACGATATGCGAGATTAACCGCTATTGAAAAAGTATTAGTAAATCTAGAGAAAAATCAGAACCAATCAGTCCTATTTGTCAAGGCAACTCACGAAAACGCTGTAAAATTAAGAGTGGAGTTTTTTGCCAAAAGTAAACAAAACAAAACAAATAAATAAATAGATAAATAAAAGAAAGAAAATAAAAAAGGCGAGAGCGAAGAAAGCAACAGCGGGAGATAAACTAACGCGTGGGAATCATATATACGTCATAGAAAAGGCAACTTGTTGTAAACGTAGTGTAGAAGATAAAATCAAGAGAATATGAACTATGAGAAGGAATCCCCGTGCCCCATCATGTGCACACTTTGATGCTATTTTTAGAATCTATTCTAAAAATATCTATTCTAAAATCTAGAATCTATTCTAAAAATATCATCCAATGATATCATTTATTTGATCGTTTGATTTTCTGCACGCGCATAGTACGCGCGCGCTCTACGCTGTTTGCTAACGTTTTCTTGTGCTTTTCTTATGTTCAAATGTTCAAATCTGCCCTCAAGATGACCATAGAGGTCGAAAGCTTTGGWAAATAAATGTAAAAATACTCCAGAAAGTTGAACAAATTACTACTTCAATTTCCTGTCGTATTTACTAAGCTTTACGTGCACATTCATATTCAGGGCAGAGTCGAAATAACGGAAAACCCCAAAAAGTAAGCCAAAAAAAAAAAAAAAAAAAAAAAAAAAAAA